GCTTCTGGACAAGGTGATAGAGACAAAACAGAGGACCGCAGGGATTGCCAGCCCTGGAGTCCAAGTGCAGTGTGTGGACCTGACACATGACTTTAAGTGAGCGAGTGTGGCTGGCTTAGACGTAAGGCAGGAGATGCTTGCCTGAAACTGGGGTAGATAGCGATCTATGTTCCATTGTTCAAGACAAGGGCCAACAAAGTGGCAAGGATCAAGACCTACACATGAGAGATAAAATTTCAGTGCTTCTAGAGGAGGAAAAAAATCAAATTAAATTTATCAGGTGCTTTATTTCACCTTAAAAATTGATAAAATAACTTGTAAGAGAGAGCTTTGCAGAGACTCAAATAGTCAAACTTAACTTATAAAACCAGAATAATTAGATTTCCCAGGTGTCAAACAGGCCCTGGCACATGTGGTCTTTCTACTCCATCCTTACGATGCTAACATGTATATCTACATACTGTCTGTCATTACCATTTCCAACTAAGAGGTGCATGTAAACTCTTGGATTTCTTTTGACTTGGTGAGGAGTTACCAGTTACATTTCAATTTGAAGAGGTTCTACCTGGTCTTTGGTGCCTTTCTTTCCTTTACCCATGCAATAATCTTTGGCCCCACCTCGTGTTGGGCTGAAAGAGGCAGACAGAACATCAGAATTGCAATCACTCGCGTCTCCCAACTCGCAACTGACAGTTTCAAGAAACTCTCAGGTGGAAACACCAATAGAGTCATTAGTTTATGTTCCATCCCATAATTCTTATCCCCTTTACTATTTATTCCAACTGTTAGTGCAAAAGGGACTCTATTGAGCTGTCCAAGGAGGCAAATGGTCACTTCCTGCCCCTCCAAAGTAACCTAAAGATGGTGATGAGGGGGGAGTAGTGCTGGCCTCTCCTACAGAGAGGAATTGTGGAAAAATGTCCTCAGATTTACCCCCCCCGCACTGCCATGCAGTCCTTCCGTGTCATGCTTATAAATATATTTGGTAAGGAGCATTCCTTTTAAATATTTTATTAAGGATCTCTCCAACCTTATCTGTCCTCTTTGTCCCTCCTAACGAAGGAGCTGAAGAACCCACCCACAACCAAGAGAAACCTCCCCTGACCTGCAAAGAAGGGAATGGAGCCAAACCCCACCTGACCTTGGTGGCTAATTCCAGCTCCCATACTAGTTAGAAATCCTTCCTGGTGGTGCTGGTTGGAAACAAAAATATATACAATTTATCTTTCTCAATTATGATTAAAAGTGCTATGAAAAATACAGGCACTGTGAGAGCCCACAATGAGGACGTGGCTGCCCCGTGAGTGTCCAGGGAGGTGCCTTTCCTGGCTCTCTGTTCCATGAGGAGGTGCTAACCAGGGAGCCTGCAGGGGTGTGGCCTGAGCGTGGGAAAGGTAGCTGGCTTATGGGCTGAAAAGACTGCACAGGAGAAGCAGCAGAGCCTGAGGAAGGACAGGGAGGCCCTGGGAGACTGAACATGGAAAGTGAAGGAGAGAGAGGAAGTAGGGAGGTGGGGAGGCCACAGCATGCAGGCTTGGTGGGGTGGGGGCAGTTTGCATTTCACCCCATCAGCCCCAGAAAGCCTTTTGTTGGGTGTGGGGTCCTAAAGTACATTGAGAGTTGTATTTTGAAGGCTGCACTGTGGGCAGCAATGCTGCCATAGTGCTGCAGGCTTGAAAGTGATGCAGGCTATTGCCCGAACTGCTCTTCCAGGCCACATGGGGTCTGGCTTTTTTGTGGGTGAGGGGTGCTGACAGGGCCACCATGTCTCTATGCTCAGAACACTCCTTTGGGTGGCCTGTGTGCTGGTCTTGGCATAAACAATTGGCCCACTCTCAGACAGCCCATCCAACCTCACCTTGGAAAAATCATCCTATGACTTCAACTTCACCTATCTGGATCACAGTTTTGTAACCTCTCCTGGCATCCTGTGGGCCAACTGCTTCCCACCCCCAGGCGCAGGCCAGCGGTGCATGGGCTCAAAGCGATGGGGAGACTTCTTCCTTATTCCTGCCAAACACAGCCAGACACTCAACCAATGAGGTCAGATTAGCCTGTTTACCTGAACAAGGTGACAATTTACCAGAAGCTCAGGTGCCCAACTTACACTGTATCAGTGTGGAATCTGAGTTATAAATTAGTCCGTTTTTGATAAATATTTTAATAAGTCACATATTTTGGCATTGTCTTTTGAGTCTCCCTTAGGGTCTGGTATCTTCCAGGATGTAAAATATGCCTTTAGTGAATGTCATGCAGTAGAAGCATAAGTTGACCACCCAGGGACTGTAACAAACTGGTCAACATATGGAGTTGGTCAACATAAGGAATTAGGCCTGCTCTACTGATACATACATGTGATGCATGTCTGGTCTGTGAAAATTAGGTCCATTTAGGTAGATAGTCAGTGTAGGGAGGTGGTCTGCTAGGGAGAGTCAATTGTATTTAATAAATTAAATTGAACAGTAGCCCCACAGAGGGGCCGGGCCGAGTGGTGGGCCACCTGATGTCAGCACCTGGCCAAATTGTGTGCTGACACATATGTGGCAAACACACTGCTGCCAAGTGTCCTAAACCTCCTGGCCACTGTCAGAACACCAGTCTCACTCGCTTTATGAAGCTCTGGCCTCTTGGCACCTCCATCTAGAAATCACCATGCATCACCTCAAAGATTAAAGATGTAACAATGGCAAGACACACAGACAACAAGGAAGGAAAAGGAGAGAGCATCTTCTGAGCACCTGTTCTGTACCAGATGTTCAACCTTTCTGCAAGGTTGACGTAACTGCCATTAAGTAGATGAGGTCAGTGGAGTTCAGGTAGGTTAAGGGACTTGTCAAATCCTGACAATCTATGATGATGACACCACTGCCCTCTAGCCAGGGAACAGAATGAGAGTCTGTCTCAAAAAAAAAAAAAAATCCTGACAGTCAAGAAGAGGCTAGTCTGGGGTTCCCATTTGATGGCTACTCTGTGCTTCCCTGTGAGGAGGAATGGACTCACAGCACCTTGAAGACAAAAGCCCACAGCTCTGCCTGAGCCTCTTCACACCCATCGTCCATGCCGCACACACTGCCCACAGCACTCTGTCAGCATCTGCCTGTTCCCCCAGCATCCTGTTCTCCTTCTCACACCCCCAAGAGAAGAGATGTGTTCCAAATCTTGGCCCCCAGCTCCTCAACCCTCCCTAAGGTTTCCAGACATTTCCTGCTTTGACGTAATTGACTGCCTCTGGGAGGATGGGAAATCAGCATTGGGCAGTAACGGCCCTCCCCGGAGATTTCCTTAAGGAGTTCTGAGCCAGGGTTGAGTGGGTGAGCAAAATCATGGCTCTGTGTTTTCCAGAGTCTTTCCCCAGACTTCCCACAGCGGCCAGGAAGTGGAGGCAGATGAAATGATAGTTTGAAACCCCTGGAGGCCTTTGCCTCTGCTTCTTCAATTAATTGAATACCATACTTTCCAATGACTGGAGTCTCAAGCAACTGCCTGGGTTAATGGAACCTGCAATCAGAAGCCTGTCTCATCACACAGAGATGACGTCACATGCAATGGTAGAGTAGATGACAGCGTGGGGATTGGAGCCTTTACAGGGCCCCAGAATAATCATCAAATCAAATCAGAGATGTGTGCTGTTAGGGAGAGATGAGGAAGTGCTTGATGCCAGCAAGGCAGCTCCCAGCTGGAAGATTAAAGAACTGGTCCTGTGGAAAGTGCCCAAGTACCCATCTACCAAGCTGAGGCAGCAAGAGATATGTAAATGAGCTTTGTATCTACCAGAAGTCCTCTAAGGAAGTGGTCCCCAATCTTTTGGCACCAGGGAGTGGTTTCACAGTAGACAGTTTTTCCATGTATGGGGAGTGAGGTAGGAAGGGACATTAGATTCTCACAACTTAGATCCCTCCCACGTACAGGTTACAGTAAGGTGCTCACTGCTATGAGGATCTTAATGCTGCTGCTGATGTGACAGGAGGCGGAGCTCAGGCAGTGATGCGAGCACTGTGGAGCAGCTATAAATAAGGATGAAACTTTGCTCACTCACTTGCTGTTCACCTCCTATTGCACGGCCCAGTTCCTAACAGGTCACTATCCAGTACAAATCCATGGCCCATTAAAAGGACTCTAAGGAAAAGGACTCTGTAGGGGACCCAAAATTATAATAATAAGCTCAGGATATAGTGGAGTCACAGTAAAAAAAAAAAAAAAAATGGCCAAGCTGCTGTATAAGAAACTCTAAGTCCAATTACCTACAAGAGCTTTCCTTTTATAAGGGGAAGGGGCACAAGTTAGGGACAAGAGTAAGGAAAGGTTATCGGCTGTTGCCTAGCTATCCTCTTCCCTGTCCTCCTGCTTGTCATCATCCTCTCACAAGTAAGAAAGGGCTTCCAATTTACCTGCCCAGGGTGTCCAGATAGGAGAGTTGCAGGATACAAACTTATGACATTGTTATTTAAATCTTTGTGCCCCTTTGCCCAGCATTCTCACAGAAATCCCTGGACACCCCTCCTTTGCTGCCTCTGTCAGGAATTGGTCTGCCTGACCAGCACAGACCCTCTCCATGGATGCCCGCTGACATTTGCAGGACTGCCTGGCCTCTGTGTGATTCATCTCTGCAGCACCATCTTAACTTCCACTGTGTCATAATTCCTAGTTAAATGTACAGATGGTTGTATAGACAGATGAATGACTTGATTCCTGAGTGACTAGATGAATAAATGAGTGAACAAATTTGCAAGATAGCTACCTGGCTTAAGAGATGGAGCTGTTACCAGCAGAACATTTTTTTCTCTATACAAAACTACAACAGAGATTGGAACCCTCAGCCTGGGTCATAGGCTGACTAACCAAGCTACGGTTCAGAAAGACATGTCCTAGCACAGTTTAAAGCCTGCTTTGTTTGACCCATTTCCATAATAATTTTGGCTACACAACCAAGGCATCTCCTGAGACCAGACCTCTTGGAAAGCCAGAGCTTTTCACTGACCTGTTCTTTTTCTTCTTTTCAGATTATCAAGGAGGTCCCTCCTCCCCCTGCTGAGGAGAGCGAGGTAAGTCACCAGAGCAGGGTACCGCCAGGTGGGTGGGGTAGCAGCATGGGGCATAAGGGCTGACCTGATACTCTGACACTCAACCCCTTGCACAGCAAAGCTGAGTCAAGCCCCCATCTGCGGTGTCAAGCAGGAGGGAGGGAAGTCTTTGTCCCTTTCCAGCAAGGAATGAACAGGAACTGAACTAAACTGACAGCCAGAGACAGAAGGGGTTTGAAGGGGTTTCTCCCTCCAGAGATAAAATTTGAGTGGCAAAGGTAAATGTTTATATCAATACAATTATTTGGATCTTTAAGGTACTGCTTTTTCCTCTAAAACAAACACTTTAGAGTTTCCCTGCAGAGACTTAGGATTTCTGTGTGTAGATCAGGCACAGTTTGCCATGTTCTCCAATTATTGGTTCTAAGTACAGCCTGAGGTCAAAGTATTACAGTTTTCTTTAATTTAAAACAATATTACCCAGAGATTTGCCAGGCAGCAATGAAAATATGCTGGAGATGGATATTCTAATATCCTGGCTTTGCTCCCAAATCTTTATCATCTAAAGAAAACAGAAATCTTGGGCTATAAATTGGCCAGTAAGCAGTCCTGATGCAAGAGTGGCCCCGAGTAGAATACAGTGGAGGTGTTAGAGGCTGGTGGGGAGGAAGAGCATCCCTGGGTAGGAGTGCCTGGCATGTGGCTTGCCCAATCTTCTGACTCCGTAGAGGTAACACCCACCAACATAGAAGCCAGGGTACAGATCCCAGTGCTTAGTGAAATGAAAAGATATATTGATAGAGTTTCAAGTTCTTGTCTGCAATCCCTAAGGTTCGTTGTGTGCAAACCAAGCGCCACCTCCTCACCCTCCTCTTTCCAATGCCTTTGTCCAGTTTTCTACGTACAGAAAGAGTAATGATTAAATTTAAAATTCCATGTGGCTTTTATATCCTGAACCATATGCCTGTAAGCCAAGGGGTTTAATAGCTGCAATCAATTAAAACACATCTTGTTGGAATGCTAACTTTCTGCCCAGAAATCAAGGGAGGAAATTACATCACTGTGCAAAGCAGAGGGAGGAAAAAACCCTCTTTACATCCACGAATGCCTTTCCTTCGTTCTTCAAGAGAAAGTACCGTGGCTAGTTCCAGTGCCACAGTGGCAGTTTAACTTTGTCTCTGCTGTGTGCAGCTATCTCTTAGACTCCCAAAGACCCCTTTGATGGGGGTCACCCCATTTGCCCCGAGGTGAAGAATGTTTCCTCCCTCCCTGTGTTGCATTAGAGGAAATGTCGCTCTTCCTCTGGTTCTTCCTCTTCATTGGCCTTTAGAAAGTGACATGGCAGCCACCATGGCCAAAGTACACTTGCGGGTGTAGGCAGAAGACAGGGGGGGTCTGCTTTCCCACAGACCCCAGATCTAGCGCAGACTCCACACACAGCACAAGTTCAATAAATATTTGCAGAATGAAGTACCCCAAAGCACAATTTGGGAGCCAAGAGAAAAAAAGCCCAAAGGGAAGAGAAGTAGTTGAGTGTTTCCAGTTTCATGAAAGTTGTACTTTCCCTGAAGACAGCAGACCTGTTTCTGAAGCAGAATGACAACCTCTGGATACTTGAAATCTAAGGTGCTATGTTAGGTTAAAGCAGCATCCTCGCCTGTGCCTTTCCTCACCCTATCGCAGGTGTACCGCCCATGGCAGTTTTGTTACTTAATCCCACTGCCTTGGCCAGATCTGCACTGGACAGATAAATCAAAAGCTTCTCTCCAACCCCTTCATCACCCTTTGAAGCCCTCTGGCTTAATCAATCAAATATGATATGAGAAATAAACCAAGAAACTCCCCAAACTGGAGACCTGGACAATAAAACTTAAACATAGTGCATTTTAGCATCAGGCAGTTTTCAGCATGTGCTGATTGCCTGAACATGTGTGTTGGCCCTGAGGGTTCCTTAGCTCTGTGAGTTAGGCAGCCCTAATCTCCTTCCTAATGCGTTTTGGCAGAAAAAAATAGACGAAGGAAGAAAGAAATCCCACAGAAACAGATAATTTAAGCCATGCAAAACATTTTATACAATGCCCTAAAAATCATAGTCTCAATCTGGACAAGCTTCTCCACTCTGGCTCCCTGTGTTCAAATCCCACAACATCTAACACTCAATTAATAGCTATTTGAAGTCAAACTCCCTCAGCCGTGCATGTGAACAAGTTAAGCATTGATTATCCAAACTTTCATCAGTTCTACAACCATCATATCCAGAGGGAGGCAGGTCTGCTATTCAAATAATGAACCTTAGAGACTGAAGACAACTTTATGAATCTTTATAATGAGTTCTCAGTGATCTTCTTTACTGGGTAATATTAACATTTATTATCTGAAAAGACATGAATTTCTAAGATTCCATGTAACCAACAGCAATATTCTTATACAGAGTACAAAGAAAAATTTGAAATTTGGAGAACTCAACAAAAGCAAGGAATCTCAGTTTTAACCACTAAGAGGGGGCATTTCCTCAGTGAAGAGTTCTCTGCGAATGGCTCCAGAATAAGGATGTCTCACTAAGTCTTTAGTTATTCCAAATAATTGGAGGTTTATGGAAGAACACAATAATGGAATGGTTTCTTTGTAAATGCAATTAACGTCCATGGATTTTATGGCCACATCTGAGTTTGTATCAGACCAATTCAAGCCAGTCCAGGAAGAAAGATCCCAGGTAGACTGAGGTGGGGAAGAAACTGAGGCAGCTCCAGATGCCACCCTCCTGGCTGGCACTTTCATCCTCACTCCTGGAACTAATCCCTCAGCTTTCTCGTACTAGCCTCCTTCTGCCCTCCTAACTGTGGTTTGTACAGGCCCCTGGGTCCTGACTCTACCTGGTGGCATTCCCAGCCTTCATTTCGGCTTCTGTCCCCAGTGCTGATAGCCTGAAACAGTCTCAGTTTCTATCTTCCCCTTCCCAACAGGACAGTACACTTGGTCCAGCTCATCTTTTCACTCCAGACCATAGATTATAAGTCACAGCTCGCAGCCAACCAGTGGACCGGCTGCCCTTGGGTCCAGTGTGGCCAAAGAGAAGAGTCATGTGCTCCTTCACAGGCCACCTGGGCATAGTGTGAGGAATTTCCCTTAGGAGGAGGAGAGGATCTGGTGCAGGCACCATTGCCTCTCTGGAACAGTATCGTTCGATAAACTAAATTTCAGTCTAATTAAATACTATCAGAATACAAGCTACAGCCAGGAATCCATGCAGTATCCTTCTCCCACCTCCCATTCCTGCAGTTCCCCCAAGATCCTGCTGTTCCCAACTTCACACACACTTGAGAGGGAATACATAGCAGGAAACCCCATGATGGACTAGGAAGTTGGTTACAGCTTAGCGCCCAGCAGTACTGTGTCTCGGACACACAGACCTACAGGTGAAGGATCGTGCTGGAACAAAGAAGGTACTTCCCATGTCTTCCTGTCTCCTCTCTCCCTCCATCAAAGGCACAGCTCATGTGGGCACCTGCAGTGTTCTTTCTTAGTCACACTGCCTCAGCCAGCCCTGCGCTGGACAGAAGAGTAATACATTTCATTTGCTGATGAAAAACAAAACATTCCCTTCCGGGAGCCCAGAGCTCCTCTCTACTACCTTCATTTCCCATTGAAAAACTCTGGCTTAATCAATTTAATATGATGCCAGAAATAAATCAAGAACTACCCAAACTGACAGCCTGGGCAACAAATGTTACAACATCATACTCTTTAGCATCAGGAAAATTAAGGCCGGAGGCTCTGACTTGAGAACATTGGAAAAGTCAGATAGGATAGAGGTAAAAGGTATGTTAGTAGTCCTCATTTTTTTTAAATTTTTTTTAGATATTTAAAATTCTTATCCATTCAGCAGCTCTAGAATGAGTACCTGCTTCATGCTGTGATAGCAAGTCTGAGATTCCACACAGGACTTTGTCTTAAGATAGGGTGTCATTGGAGATTAATAAGGTTGATGACTTAATCAATCTTAACTGGGGAGAAAGACAGAGATCCCGGCTAGATACTACATGTGAGTCTGTGAAAATTAATAACAACAATAATAATATAATAATTACTAGAGATAACATTTATGACTATCCAGGTGCAATGCCATTTTTATTTAATCAACATCCCTAGAACAAATGTAAGTTAGCATGATCCCATATTTAAAGATGTAAAACTGAGGCATAAAGAGATTAAAATACTATTTCACTTAAGATCCCACAGTTATTAAGTGATGGTTCTGGGATTCGAACTTATAACTGAAAGAGAAGCATAAAGCATCCTTCCTCACTGGACCCTGAGGAATATGTAGCTCCTGCAACCAGCAGTAAAGCCTCCAGTTCTCCACAAGAGCATCACGTGCTTTCTCAAGTGGCTTTGTCACCCACCCAGCCCCAGGTGGCATTTATACAGGGCCTGCACCAGCTCCTTTTCAGATTGATGCGAAGGTGGCTCCTCCTTTTCTGTGGGTTCATGTGGTCCTGGTGTGTAGCTATCCTCCTCAGACATTTCCTGGCCTTTCTTCTCTTTCATGCTCCCATGTCATCAGGTCTTGCGGTGAAGCTTTAGAATATGTCTGTCTGGGTTAGTATGCATGTGGGTGTGCGAGCAAGAGTGTGAATATATGAATTCCTGTAGGCTGGAGGGAGAGGGGTATGCATTGAAGGCATTGATGCTGGCTGGGCATCCAATGAACTATGGCTTTGAATGATGAGCTTATTCATTACTGTGCTCACTGATCTACACAATTTCTCTGTTGCAAGAAATCTTTAGACAGGAAAACTGAGCTATGGAAAACTATAGAACTTGTCTAGGGCCAGACAAATTGAACTCCCTAAACTCCCTAATAGCAGCAGGTCAACCCCCACCCAGCCTGGTCTACACAGACACCCAGAGTAACCTCCATCCTGGAGGGATGAAGGGCCAGGCTACTTGTAGGCATCTTCTTGCCTATGGACATTACGTAGTCATTCTTATATATGCCCTTCCACACACCTGTACCTCTA